CCCTCACTGACCCTCACACTCCCTCACTAAACCTCACACTCCCTCACTGACCCTCACTACCTCCCTCAGTGACCCTCACACTCCCTCACTGACCCTCACTACCTCCCTCAGTGACCCTCACTCAGTCTGACGCCCGCACCCAGTGCCTTGGCCCCGGTGTGAACTGATGCTCTGACCCTGTCTCTTGTCTTCCCCACCCCCTCAGGGAGCTCGCTGCTTCCACTTGCGCCCAATATTCGCTGAGACGCTGCAGTTTACCGCTCACCTCCTGTCGGACCAGGACCCAATAATCATCCGCCTGCCGACGATCGATTTGTTCCAGCTTCATCTTGAGATTGGACGTTGTCGTTAACTTTGCCTGAAAGGATGCGATGGTGCGGCCTCCGAGCCAGGCGAGTAGGGAGGGATCAGTCTCATCCCATGGGAAACAGCAGCGGCCAAGGGGCTGCTCAGCACAAGAGGCTTTCGCCGGCTCCTTCTCTAACTGGTGCCTCTGAGCTCACACTGCCTCATTGTTACGTGCCCTGTGCCTGTCTGCAGCTACTGCCCCACATTGAGCTGGTCTAGAACTCGATCCGCTCACTAGCTCTCAGTTCAACAAGTTAGTCACCACAACCAGGCTTTCAGGAACAAGAAATCCCAGCTCTGTAACCTAGGAGACGAACGAACCAAGAACATTGATACTAAACAAAAACAGAAATTGCTGGAAGAAAATTAATACTAAAGCTATCTCTAACCCAAAATCCAGACCAGCCAAAACTAAATGGTCAGAACATACATTTACTTATTCACTTGTGGAATGTGGGCATCGCTGGCTGGGCAGCATTTATTACCCGTCCCTAGTTGCCCTTGAGAAGCTGACGGTGAGTTGCCTTTTTGAACTGCTATAGTCCACGTACTGTAGGTAGATTCACAATGCCCTTAGGGAGGGAATACATGGATTTTGACCCAAATTTACAGGGAATATGATTTGGAAGGTGCTGACTAAGGATCTTTGGTGAATTTCTGCAGTTCATAATGTAGACAGTACACACTGCTGCTACTGTGCGTCAGTGGTGGAGGGAGTGGATGTTTGTGGATGTGGTGCCAATCAAGCGGGTTGCTTTGTCCTGGATGGTGTCGAGCTTCTTGAGTGTTGTTGGGGCTGCATCCATCCAGGCAAGTGGGGAGAATCCCATCACACTCCTGACTTGTGCCTTGTAGATGGTGGACAGGCTTTGAGGAGTCAGGAGGGGAGTTACTTGCTGCAACATTCGCAGCCTCTGACTTGTCCTTGTAGCCATTGTACTTATATGGCTATTGTGTACAGACTTCCAAAGTCATTTGTTGAAGTGAGGTGCACCAGACTTGCGAAGAAAGTTACAGCTCATGGAACAAAAGAGGTAATGGCAATATGGATATGAAATGGAGTGACGGGCAATAGAGGGGTGTGAATGGTTGTATTTTGCACTGGAGGGAGGCTTGTAGTCGACTTCTATAGTATTTATTCTTGGACAGAGTATAGTAGCTAGTATCCCTGCTGGTCACACAGGACACTGACAAGGAGAACAATTTATTATCTGTGGAATACTTTATTGCAGAGGGCTATAGAGGCTACGTCATTAAGTAGATTCAAGGCTGCGATAGGTAGATTTTTAATCAGTAACACAATCAAGGCTTATGGGGAAGAGGCAGGAAAGTGGAGTTGAGGAGCTATTTGAATGGAAAAGCAGACTCGATGGACTGAATAGTTTACTTCTGATCCTATATCTAGTTGTCCATACCGTAAAGGATACTTTGACATCAAGTTGGATAAGGGAGAGTGATGGGATGACAGATCTCTGAGAGCAGATTGAATGGACTCAGGGATGAGTCTCTGAGAGAACAGTGTGCGTATGCAATTATATAGCTACTGCATAAGCCAAATCGACAGTGATCGAGCATACAGGACAAACACCAGGCTAGATGCAAACAGCCTGGGACATGGGAAGAGCAGCTCAAGTATAGGATGGCCCCGGGAAATCTGGGCAAATTGGTCACCCTGGCTGAGACCCTTGCATTTGCTGACATTTATTCATGACCTGAGTCTTGGTGAACATTGCTCAGTTTTAAAATTGACAGATGATGCAAAACTTGGGAGTGTTGTGAACAGTGAGGAAATTTGGATAGGTTCAAAAGCACATAGACTGGTTAGTGGAATGGGTGGACAAGAAACAGATTAAATTTGATGTAGGGAAATGTGAAGTGATTCATTTCAGTAGGAAAAAGATGGAGAGATAGCACAAACTAAAGAGTGCAATTCTAAAGAGGCTGCAGGAGCAGAAGGGCCTGTGGGAATATGTACAGATATTATTGAAGGTGCCAGGACGTTTTGAGAGTGTAGGTAATAAAGTATTTAGTACCATAGGTTTTATTAATAGGGCCATAGATTTCAAAAGCAAAAGGCGTATTTTTAATTTCTATAAAACATTAGTTCAACCTCAATGAGAGAATTGTTTCTAGTTCTAGGCACCACACTTTAGGAAAGATGTGTAGTCAATAGTTAGAATGCAGGAAAGATTCATGACAATGATTTCAGGGATGAGAAACTTCAGACGTGAAGATAGATTGGAGAACATATGACTGGGTTCCAAAGGAGAATCCAACTTGGGAAGGGGCCATACTGGACCTGGTGTTGGGGAATGAGCCCAGCCAGGTGGTTGAAGTTTCAGTAGGGGATTACTCTGGGAATAGTGATCACAATTCCGTAAGGTTTAGAGTACTCATGGACGAAGACGAGAGTGATCCTAAAGGAAGAGTGCTAAATTGGGGAAAGGCCAACTATAGCAAAATTCAGCAGGAACTGGGGAATGTGGATTGGGAGCAGCTGTTTGAGGCTAAATCCACATTTGATATGTGGGAGGCTTTTAAAGAGAGGTTGATTAGAGTGCAGGACAGACATGTCCCTGTGAAAATGAGGGATAGAAAGGGCAAGATTAGGGAACCATGGATGACAGGTGAAATTGTGAGACTAGCAAAGAGGAAAAAGAAAGCATACATAAGGTCTAGGCGACTGAAAACAGACAAAGCTTTGGAAGAATATCGGGAAAGTAGGACCAATTTGAAACGAGGAATTAAGAGGGCTAAAAGGGGTCATGAAATATCTTCAGCAAACAGGGTTAAGGAAAATCCCAAAGCCTTTTATTCGTACATAAGGAGCAAGAGGATAACTAGAGAAAGGATTGGCCCACTCAAAGAAAAGGAGGGAAGTTATGCGAGGAGTCAGAGAAAATGAGTGAGATTCTTAATGAGTACTTTGTGTCGGTATTCACCAAAGAGAGGGACATGACGGATGTCGAGGTTAGGGATAGATGTTTGATTACTCTAGGTCAAGTCGGCATAAGGAGGGGGGAAGTGTTGGGTATTCTAAAAGGCATTAGGGTGGACAAGTCCCCAGGTCTGGATGGGATCTATGCCAGGTTACTGAGGGAAGCGAGAGAGGAAATAGCTGGGACCTTAACAGATATCTTTGCAGCATCCTTGAGCATGAGTGAGGCCCCGGAGGACTGGAGAATTGCTAATGTTGTCCCCTTGTTTAAGAAGGGTAGCAGGGATAATCCAGGTAATTATAGACCGGTGAGCCTGATGTGAGTGGTGGGGAAGCTGCTGGAGAAGATACTGAGGGATAGGATCTATTTACATTTGGAAGAAACCGGGCTTATTAGTGATACGCAGCAAGGTTTTGTGCAGGGAAGGTCATGTCTTACCAACTTGATAGAATTCTTTGAGGAAGTGACAAAGTTGATAGATGAGGGAAGGGCTGTGGATGTCATATACATGGACGTCAGTAAGGCATTTGATAAGGTTCCCCATGGTAGGCTGATGGAGAAAGTGACGTCTCATGGAATCCAGGGTATACTAGCTAGATGGATAGAGAACTGGCTGGGCAACAGGAGACGGAGATGTGTAGTGGAAGGGAGTTTCTCAAAATGGAGAACTGTGACCAGTGGTGTTCCACAGGGATCTGTGTTGGGACCGCTGTTGTTTGTGATATACATAAATGATCTGGAGGAAGGTATAGATGGTCTGATTAGCAAGTTTGCAGATGACACTAAGATTGGTGGAGTAGCAGATAGTGAAGGGGACTGTTGGAGAATGCAGCAGAATATAGACAGATTGGAGAGTTGGGCGGAGAAATGGCAGATGGAGTTCAATCCAGGCAAATGTGAGGTGATGAATTTTGGAAGATCCAATTCAAGAGCGAACTATACAGTAAATGGAAAAGCCCTGGGGAAAATTGATGCACAAAGAGATCTGGGTGTTCAGGTCCATTGTATCCTGAAGGTGGCAACGCAGGTCGATAGAGTGGTCAAGAAGGCATATGGCATGCTTTCATTCATCGGACGGGGTATTGAGTACAAGAGTTAGCAGGTCATGTTACAGTTGTATAGGACTTTGGTTCGTCTACATTTGGAATACTGCGTACAGTTCTGGTCGCCACATTACCAAAAGGATGTGGATGCTTTGGAGAGGGTGCAGAGGAGGTTCACCAGGATGTTGCCTGGTATGGAGGG